TAAGAAATATTAAACAATATAAAAAGATGATGCAGGGCTTGAAGGAGAATTATTTAATCGTACCATTAACATTTTATATTGTGAACAAAATAATATTTTAATTCAAAACTATTAGCAAATACATTAACTAAAATGGACAATAAGAAATTTACATGATAAAACCCAATGAAAATCCAACTCTTATCTTTTTTAGAAAGCCCATATGTCAAACTCCATTCTCATAATAAAAATTCTAAACTCCACTTTAAAGACTCATTTATTTCTAATTATCTAATTATATAAATATTTTTATTTTATTTTATAGTTTATAACTAAAAAATAATTCTAATCCGATGAATAAAATTAAAAATCAATCTTAATTTTTTTTTGTTATATTAAAAAGATAAAATCTTAATATAAATAAAAAAATGAAAGAAGTCAAATTCAAAATCAAATTCTTAATGCTTTTAGCCACTAGATCAAAAATTTGGGACAATCAATCTTCACTTAACACATTATATACAAACCTTTGTTGCAAAGCTCGTGGTTTAATATAAACATGTCTTGCAAAATCCAAATTTGAAACATTTTTTCCCAAAGTCAATTAATTATCTAATAAATATCTAGCTTGTAACTTGTTTAATTGGCTCAACAAATACCCAATTGATTTTCCATTAATCTTTTATTACATTCATACAAACCAACCAATTACTTTAACTCATTTGTTAATCATTTAAATTTTATTGGGTGTCAAACAAAAAGTCCTACAAGGACTCTTTTCATATCTAGATAAATATCCAGTTTCTTGTTTAGCCCGCTCAACAAATATCCAATTCGTCAACTTCTCCTGAGTTCACACAAACTAATTAATTAGTTTAAGTCATTTCTCAAACAAAAAGTCTTAATATCCCGCTTGTAACTTGTTTAGTCCGCCCAACAAATATCCAACAAGCCTTTTCATTAATTTTTTTCTAATAGGGACTCTTTTAATATGTAGGAATAGATTATGTTTGTGTTTTTATTTATTTGGATTGATTTATTATATTATTTTTTTATAAATAGATATAAAATTTTTATTCTATTATATTTATATAGTAATTAGTAATTTTATTCAAATTTTTAGGAATATTATTATTGAAGTAAAAAAAACAATGGATTCCTTTTTTTTTTTTAAGAAAAATAATTAAAATATAGAGTTAGAGATAACATTTTCTTGCCTAAAAACCAAAGAAAAGACTTAGATGAAGTTTTTTATGTGAAGTTCTTGAAGTTCCCTACTAAAAATGATTCAATAAAAACTAAAATTGAAAAAACAAAATTGATATATTGAAAGATCTTTTTACATAGATTAAGTGTGTAAAATTTGAAAAAAAAATTTTAATAAATTTATATTTTTTTTATATAAACATTTTTATTAAAAATATCGATAAAATTTTTATCATTAAATAAGTATCGATTAAATTTGAATTATAAATAATTTTTTAATAATTTTTTTACATATTATTAATCTTCATATTAAATTCTATCAATCTATATATGGTTTGAATTTTTTATTAAAATTTTATTAAATCATTTTTAAAAAGGAATGCCATAAATTTCACCAAAAATTTTTCATATAAGTTTTGCTCTAGAAACCAATGCTACGCTTTCTAATTCTATCTCACAAAATGAAGCACTACCGCCACCACCATCATCTACTTCAAACTATGAAATTAATGCTTCTAAAATTCCTAGAATTAAAGTTGAGACAATTGATTTGTTTAATTTAAAACATGATCCAAGATTGCATAAACAAATATATGAGTATCCGGTTAGTCTACGTGATGAATTCAGAGAGCTTACATCAAGGCTAGACCATATCAACTTAATTTTTTAGAATATCTTGCTTTTAGTTCAAAAAACATCCTTGTTACTTTCAAACATCATGGTTCAAACAATTTTCTTGGTTAGAATATTTACGTTCTAAGGATGTAGCATTTTGTTTACTTTGTTTTCTCTTTAATAACAAGCCAAATGGATATTTTGGATCAACTGCATTTAGTCATAATGGCTTTAAAAATTGAAAAAAGGTACACAAAGGATGCATTTGTGCTTTTTTAACTCATATGAGACAATGTCTAAATTCATCATATAATAATGCATAAAGAGCTTGTGTAGATTTAATAAATCAAACTCAACATATTAGAGTATCACTTGATAGGCAAACAACAAAATAAATTACAGTTAATCATCTACATTTGAAAATTAGTATAGATGTTGTTCGATGGTTGACATATCAAGATTGTGCCTTTAAAAGTCATAATGAAAGTTTAGAATAAAAAAATTGTGAAAACTTTCTTAAATTGGTAAACTGATGACATCTTATGGTAAAAAGGTTAAAGATATTATGAAAAATGCTCCATAAAATGCCACGTATACTTATTCAACAACACAAAAAAAAATTTGCACATTAATACTAAAAGAATTTGTCATGTAATTTGTAAAGAAATTGGTAATAGAAACTTTTGCATTATTAATGATGAAGCCGAAAATGAGTCAAAATAAGAAGTAAATGACAATTGTTTTAAGATTTGTTGATAAAGAAGAGTTTGTGAAGAACATTTTTTTGATCTAGCACATGTTAAAGATATTTTAGCATTAACTTTGAAAAATGAGACTTTTAATGTTCTTTCTTATCATAGTTTTGACATACAAAATCTTCGAAGATATAGATATGATAGAGCGAGTAATATACGTGGGAAGTTAAATGGCTTGTAAGCTCTGATTTTGAAGTAGTGTCTATATGCTTATTATGTTCATTTTTTTGTTCATCAACTTCAATTAGCATTGGTTGTAGCATCTAAAGAAGTGGTTGAAGTGCATCAATTTTTTAAAGACTTGGTTGATATTGTTAATGTGGTTTGTGTTTCGTTCAAACATTATGATGAATTACAAAAAGCTTAAGCAATTAAAATTGCTCACTTAATTTCATTGTTGAGTTAGAAACTGAAATTGGTATAAACTAATTCCGCACTTTTATAACGTCCAGGTGATACTTGATGGAGTTTTCATTTGAATTCAATTATCAGTTTAATAAAAATATTTCGTGCAACATGCACTATTCTTGAAAATATATAAAATATTGTACTTAATTATTCTCAACGAGGAAATGTACATTTTGCATGTAATAAGTTGAGATCTTTTGAATTTGTTTTTATTTTACATTTGATGAAGGAAATTATGAGAATTACTAACAATCTTTGTCAAGCTTTGCAATGTTGTTCTTAAGGCATATTGAATGCTATAAATCTTGTGTCAACAATCAAAGAATTGATTCAAAAGTTCAAAAAAAGATGATGAAATGAATTATTGAATAATGTGATGTCATATTGTGAAACTTGTGAGCTAGATATTCCAAACGTGAATGTGTCATACATGGTAGGTCATGGTCATAACAAGAAAGAAGATGTTACAATGGATTATTATTATCGAGTAGATATACTTTTTGTTACAATAAATACTCAATTGCAAGAATTGAATCATAGATTTAATGACTATGTTTTGAGTTGCTTACTTTTACTTCATCATTAGATCCGAGAGAGTTTCAAATTATTTGATGTCGAAAAAATTTATAGCTTTGTTAACAAATTTTATCTAAAAGATTTTACTCACTAAAAAAATGAATGCCTTTCATATGAGTTGAGACATTATGAAGTTGATATGTGTCAACATTCTAATATAAGAAAAATATCAATACTTTCTGAACTTGTAAAAGATTAGTTAAAAGTAAAAAGTAAGAGGTATATAATTTTTCTTATATTGACTCTTTTAGTTTCAATTACATCTACCCAACGCGTTTTTTCAATTATGAATATTATGAAAAGTTGATTTTGAAGTAAGATGGACAATGATTTTTTGAGAATTTCTTTGGTTGTTTACGTTGAGAAAGAAATTGTAAAAAAGTTTAGTACTAATGTAATAATTGATGATTTTAATATAAAGAAAAAATGAAAAGAGTAATTTAAATAATATTTTTATTTTTCTAGTCGATTTGTGTTTCATAGTATAATTTTTTAAAATTTTTTAAAAAATTAAAATTAATATTATTCATTATTTCGACCTCTCTTCATCCTAATACTAACTTCGTCCTTGATCACAAACACAATACGATTTTACTTATGTTACAACATAATTTATTTTACCTTTCAACACATTTACTTTATCTTTTTATATATTATATTTATCTTTCACGCATTTAAACATAATTTTAATTTAGAAAAATATTCGAACTTTATTTTTTTATCACTTATGCCCACTCTTACCACAAATATAAAGGGTGAGAACTTCCCATAAGTAATCATCTTAAAAAATCAACATAGGAAGGAAAAGTAAATTATCTTTTTACACTTATTTTATAAGTGACTTAAACGAGAATAAAATTTTATTCATCTATTATTTTTAATTTGAGAATGAAAATTTTTTTTTAACTTTACAAGTTTAATAAAGTAATTTGAACTTATTTTATAAGTGCCTTAAATGAGAATAAAAATTTATTGATATATTACTTTTAATTTGAGAATGATTTTTTTTTTAACTTTACAAGGTTAATAAAGCAACACATGTTTTATTTATTTTTTAAATTAATTTTTTTATTTTTTAAATATACATTAAGATATTTGTTACTTTATTAATTATACTAATAGAGTTAAAAAAATTTTATTATTAGTAATTTAATAATATGTCTTTTAATTTTAAAATACTATCATTGCACAAAATCTAAAGAGAATGCCTTGTATCCTTGGTACGTTTTAGACATTTTTAATAAATAAAAATAAGTAGGGCAAAATTTTTTGGCTAGGAAAATGAGAAGACCCAACCAAGCTTAAACAACCGTAAGATACACTCAAGATTTTATTATTAATATATACAAGATTTTTTTTGAAATAATATATATAAAAGAAATTAAGAATAGGTATCTCATAATAATAATAAAAAAGAATTAAGTATCACATTATTGTTAAAAGAATAAGGTTTCAAATTTTTTTAATAAAAAACTCTAAAATTAAGGACGTCCAATATTAAAAAAAAAAAAAAAGGCGATTTTACAAAATCCAAAAACTATATAAAGTCACCATGCAAGTTTGCAAACCCTCTCGCTTGCTCGACGGCGGCCATTCTATCACGGGTTACCATCGTCTTATTGTTAGCTTTATTTCGTCAGGTTCTTCATCAACACCCTGAAATTAAAAGTATTAGAAATAATTAAGGTAGCTTTTCTTAATTTTAATGTCTAGATACAGTTTTTATTAGTATTACTTCAATGAATTTAAAGTCCTTTTTAATTTCATAAAAGATTATTCTGTTTTGATTCAAGGGTATATACTATATTCTGTTTGGCTGGAAGTTGTTTTATCAGCAGTAGAAATTTGGGTTTCAATGGCTGGCAAGAAAAGAAGCTTCCATTCTATTGGTACGGCCAATAATGTGTTTACAATGCTTTGGAATGATAAGAAATTAAAGGATACAGCATCCGCCATGCCCATGGAGAGAAAAAAGATGAGAAAAGCACTAGAAAAGGAGAGGCGGTTTCATGCTTTACGAGATAAAGATTTGCATCCTAAACAAAAAAGTATAACACCCTTATCAACCTGCAGTGGTCGGCCTCTGCCTGAGTTCCATTATAGAGTTTTTAATGACTTATGTCTGGCTGATGCTTCTGTAAGAGAAGCAGCAGTGGAAAAATTGGTGGAAGAGTTGGAAGAAATTCAGAAGGTATATGAGAGGCTTGAGAATAAGGACTTGCTTGATCAGGATGGATTTAAAGTGGATGCTGAAAAGGATGATGGCTTGAAAAACTGTGCACCATCTTTGAGGTATGCTGTGCATAGGCTAATCAAAGGAGTTTCTTCACCCAGAGAGGTTTGATAAATTTTCTCTGTTTTAAAATGCCTTCCATGTAATCATCCTTCATTTTATGTTCACTGAAATTATGCATTTAACTTTCTTGTATATGCCATCCATATTTATACTTGTAAATTGAACATGGTGTGACATCAAACATCTGAAATAAGCATATTATTCTGCTGCTTTTGCAGCATGCTAGACAAGGTTTTGCTTTGGGTTTGACTATCTTGATTGCTACAATTCCTAGCATTAGAGTGGGCTCTTTATTAAAACTTATAGTTGATTTGTTGGAAGTTTCTTCATCAATGGAGGGTCAGGTAAGCTTTTGGTTTTATCTTGTATATCAAGTTGCAATCCACTAACATGATAATTCTATAATTAGCTTCTTAATTATTTACTGGTGGTACAGGAAGAAAGGGATCGTCTCCTGGGTCAGTTGTTTGCTTACGGCGCTCTTGCTCGATCTGACAGACTTATTAAAGAGTGGAATTGTGATAACAACACTCCTCATGTCAAGGAATTCATCAGTGCTCTTATCTCCCTTTCCTCAAAAAAACTATACCTGAAGGAGGGAGCTGTCTCAGTTATATTAGAAATGGTTGAAAAGGTAGTTTTTCTAGATAAAGCAGATAGGCTTCTTCTTCCAAATGCCCTTACTTTTATCTGTCAGAATGTTGGGAATAGTGGACTATGTTAAACCTAATGCTAACTAGAAATCAATACTTATAACTTATCAAAGTCAAGAGTCTCTTGATATAATTTTTCCAGGTGAATTATGAATTATTCCAATAATTTTGATGGCTCAAGTGTGGATGTGTATATCATTAATATATGCTTAATGTTGGAAGTTGTCTCAGAAATGGATAGAGCAGGAGAACCCTTTTTTAAGTTGTTAAGTGTTGCCTTTCCTCTTCATCTTGCAAGTTGGATAGATATAAATGTGGTTAATGCCTTGTTGTTTCATTTTTTAATTAATACTTCTAATCATGCAGTTGCCTGTCAAAGCCTTGTTGAATCACTGCCTTGAAGCTCCCGGTGTCATTGAGTGGTTTGAAGAAGCAAGTGACCTGGGAAATCCTGATGCTTTGCTTTTAGCTTTGAGAATTCGTGAAAGAACATCAATTGACAGTGCAGTTCTTGACAAACTTTTGCCAAATCCATTCAGCCCAAGCAATCTTTTCTCTGCCAATTATCTATATTCCCTTACTAACTGCTTTAAGGTAACTTTAAAAGTATCCATAAAATGTAGGGGTAATTATGAGGAATCAGCTATAAATATTTTCTAGAACTTCTTGACCTTTTTGAAACATGGCAGAAATCAACATTTTGTGGGCCACGAGTTCATGGTGTGTGGTCTGTTGTCACAGATATTCTTCTACCGGATTCCAATTTTCAGGCCGAAGATGCAGCATCAGTTTTGAATTTCTCAAAGAAGCATAAAAAGGGTCGGAAATCTAGCTCTTTTGAGGAAGAAACTGCAAAGAACGTTCAGTGTTTTTGTGAGGTTGTTGTTGAAGGATCCCTTCTTCTGTCATCTCATGATTGCAAAAACTTAGCACTTGATATTCTGCTTCTTCTCCTCCCTAGGTTGCCGGTGTCTTTAACTCCAATCATTTTGTCCAACAAACTTGTCCAATGCTTGATGGATATACTTTCCTCCAAGAACTCCTGGTTGTACAAAGTTGCACAGGATTTTCTTAATAAATTATTAGATTGGGTTGAAAATGACAATGTCAGAAGAGTAGCTGTTATTGTGGCTTTACAGAAGCACAGTAATGGAAAATTTGATTGCATTACAAAGACAAAAACAGTTAAGAATTTGATGGAAGAGTTTGAAACAGAAGCAGAATGCATGTTGTTTGTCCAGAATATGATGAACATGTTTCTGGATGAAGGTCATGCTTCTGATGGATTTTCAGATGAGACTTCTGAGATAGGCTCCGTTGAGGACAAGAATTCTGCTCGAATGTTGGGGAACTCTGATTTATTGAAAAGCTGGATCATAGAATCCCTGCCTACTGTTTTGAAATATTTAAAGAAGGATCCTGTAGCAAAATTCCGGGTCCAAAAAGAAATTTTGAAATTTCTAGCTGTTCAGGGTCTATTTTTTCCTTCTCTTGGCAATGAAGTTACTTCATTTGAGTTGCAAGAGAAATTCAGGTGGCCAAAAGCAGCCACCTCAAGTGCCCTTTATAGGATGTGCATTGAACAACTCCAATCATTGCTGGCAAACACAGAAAAGGTTGAGGAGCATGCTCTTGAGATAAATGATCTTGGTTGCTACTTTATGCAGATCTTTAGTACATTGCACAACATTCCTTCAATTGTTCTCTTCCAAACTTTGAACAATGAGGATGAAAAGGCTATCATAAAATTGAAAGAAATGGAAAGTAGACTTTATAAAGAGGTAATTTGATATCTCCGTTGTTGGTGCAACACTATCATCCATTCTTTTGATTATTTCTCTGATTGTTGGTGATTTTCCATCTCTTGAATTTAAGTCAAGCTGGTCTGTAATTAAAAGATTGGGGTTGGTGGGTTTCTTCTTGCCTCGGAATGTTTTCAAACGACATTATCAATCTTTGAACTATTTTGAATAGATGATAGAAATTAGGAGTGTTTACCTTCTATGTTTATGGTGCACTTTGGAACCGTTTTTTATGTTATGATCTTGTTAACCTTTCATCATACAAGTCAGTGAAACAATACTCAGCTTTTGACTGTTTAATAATGGCAGGGAGTGAACCTTGGCTTTAGCAGTGATGGAAATAAACTGCATGCATTAAGGTACTTAGTCATCCTACTGCTACTAGAAGTGCTCCTTCGACCTGGGGAATACTCTGAAGCAGCCTCTGAACTTGTCATATGCTGTGAGAAAGCTCTTGCAGCTTCTGGTATTCGCATCTCATCTGGAGAAGATAAGTTGGACAGTGATTCAATAACAGAATTAATGGATGTCCTTGTGGATACATTGCTTTCCTTGCTGTCACAGTCATCAGCTTCTATGCAGTCAGTTATTGAGAAGGTTTGTGAAGTATACTTTAAGACCGGTCTGGTCTTATTCCTTAATTCTGGTTTTACAGCTATACTTTTGTGTTGTTGACCCCCTTTCAGTATTCTGTCTCGCTTGTTGCTGATACACAATTCAGAATGTTCCACACTAGCTATATTTTTCCTCCATGTCTATTATTAGTATTTTCAGCTGGGGTGGTCCTGGTAAATCTCTGCATTTTAATTTAAATGTTATTCTTTGATGTTGCTCATTGATTGATAGGATATTCTCAGCTGCTTTGTATGTATGGTTAGGCATGTCTCTTGTGTTCTGTGTTTATCTCATGGAGGAAAATAAAAGAATGAAATGGAGTTTTGATTGTGCTAACAACAAAATTCCAATTATCTAACAGGCTAAAGCAATATCTTGTAGATTGTAACTTTTCAGTCATTTTTCTTATATATGTTTTTTGATTTGGCATCTACTGTTATCTGTAGGTTTTTAGATATTTCTGTGTTGATGTAACGGATGATGGACTTTTCCACATGTTGCAAATAATTAAGAAAGAGCTAAAACCTGCCAGACGCCCGGACTCAGATGGTAAAGATAATGATGATGACGATGATGACCTTTTTTATATTGAAGAAGATGAGAGTATAGATGATGCTGAGACTGAAGAAACATCTGATAATGATGAGCAGGCAGATGACTCTGAGGAAGTAGCTGGAGGTGAGGATCTTGCTATAGAACTTCCTGAGGATTCTGATGGAGACATGGATGATGACGCAATGTTCCGCATGGACACTCATCTTGCCCACATCTTTAAAGAGAAAGAGAGGATGGCTGGCAGTGAAACTGTTCAGTCCCAGCTCGTCCGTTTCAAACTCCGTGTTCTTTCATTGCTGGAAATTTACTTGCATGAACATCGAGGCAAGTGTTTATTGTTTCTTATAGGAGTAGTTAAGATCAGCTGGGAACTATAAATAATTAAGATATTTACTTTCTATATTCTATATTCAATATCCTGATATATGCCCTTTGTTTTTTTTCCACAGGCAAGCCCCAGGTACTATCAGTTTACTCAAACTTGGCTCTGGCATTTGTCAATCCACATACTACAGAATGCAGTGAGCAACTTAGACAGCGTATATGGGGAATACTTCAGAAGAAGATACTCAAAGAAAAGAAGTTGCCTGAATATGAAGCCATGCAATTATCTACACTTGAATCCTTACTGGAGAGAAACTTAGAGTTGGCCTCCAAACCATTCAAGCTAAAGAAATCTGCTAGTTTCCTATCCAAGAAGAAGCTGTCAGCCTCTTCAAACCGACGCAAAATGCATGTTTCCCTTGCTCAAGACTCAACCTACTGGATACTTAAGATCATTGCTTTCAGAAACTTTTCAGATGTTGTATTGCAGAGAGTTTTTGATATCTTGTGGGCTGCGTTGGTCGGGTATTTTGACAAAAAAAGTTCCCAACTAAAATCCGGGTTTCTGAAAGAAATATTTCGAAGACATCCAAGGATTGGCCACAAACTCTTAGGCTTGCTTTTAGAAAAATGTGGCAGCGCCAAGTTAGAGTTTCGACGAGTTGAAGGGCTTGATTTGGTTATTGAAGTATTGAAGTCACCAGCTCCTATGAAATATGGTGAAACCAGGAAGGGAGCAGCAAAGAGAATGTTGAAAAGCCATTTGTGGAGTCTGAGTCGTCTAATAAAGGAAGTGGTGAGAAGAATGCCAGAAAAGCAGGCAAGGCGAGCTGATGTGCGTAAACATTGTCAAAGGATCTTCCAGATGATATCAAGGCTTGGTTTATCAAAGTCTTTTCTTCAATGTTTGGGACCAGATCATGGCTGTGAATCTCAACTTGGTGACCTGTTCCTTAGGCTGTAAAGTTTTGGGAGTACTCTTCTATTTTAATATTCTCAAATCAAAATATTTCTACTTGACTGGTGCATTCAAACATGAAAAGTTTTTTTTTTTTTTTTTAATAAATAGATTTCATCAGGTTCACATTGAAATCATTTTTCATAGGCTTGGGATATGGTCCACCTTTTCTTTTATCACATGGGCTTTGTTGATGAAAGTCATGTTTGGGTTTTTTAGGAGTTCGCCGAATGTTGACAAGATGGTGAATGTGGTTTGTCGCAAACAACAAAGTGGCGGAAATGATATTTAGGAAATAATTAAGGCATAGAGAGTAGAGTTGTAAATGAATTATTTGATTAATCTGGTTCTATTTTTCATATCTTACTAGGCGAGTGTCCGCTCGTTATTGTTGGTAAATTATTTTATTATATATATTTATCGATTTTATTGTTAAAAATTTTAAAAAATGATATGACGTTAAAAAAAAAAATCAAGTAAGAGTGACATATAAATATTTAAATTAATCTTTTAATTTTGAACTAATTTGATATTGGTTTTTATAAAAATGCCCATATCCAAGTAAGACATAGTTGATTATCTCTTGGATCAATTGATATGTCATTGAAATTAGTATTTAAAAATTATCAATTTGAAATAATTTAAATACGTAATATTCTTTTCAGTTAAATATGTAATAAGGTAAAAAATTTAAGGATAGATTAAGAATTTTAAAAAATAAGAAATTAAGGGTAAGAGATTTAAGATAGATTAAAAATTTTTAAAAATAAAAAATTAAGACGGATAGAAAATATTTGATATTGATTATTTTATCATCTTATTAATTAATTCATTTTGTTACAAAATTGATTTAATTAAAAAAAAACAAAAAATAATATCAAATTTGAATGTATTATCAACACATTTGCTAATATTTTTTTCTTTAAAAACTATCAAATTAAAAAATAAAAAATATATATTTAAATAATTATATCAAATGGCCCGTATTAAGGAAAAGTTTAAATATATATTTTTTTAAATATGAGATATTTAAAAAAAACAAATATCGAAAAAAAAAAAGCAAAAGAAAAAGAAAGAATCAAGTGATTTAACATGTGGCATTCTAACGTATTATTGATATCGAGTGGATCTTTAAAAGTATAAAAAATTATTTGTTAAATATATTTAAAAAGAAGAAAAAAAAGGAAAAAGGAACAAAAATAGGTAACATATATTGGTGTTAGGTAGATCTAACATAAAATTAAAATCTTAAAAAAACTTTTTTAAATATTTTTTAAAATTTAAAAAAGAAAAACCAAAAATGTGCAAGAAAGAAAAATCAAAAAAGAAAGTTTTGTATAAGTAGGTCTTAATTATAAAAAATAAAATCTTTTAAAAATATATTTTATAATTTAAAAAATAATTTATTAAATAATTTAAAGGGAAAATTTAAAAACTAAAAAAAAAAAAAAAACTTAAAAATGACACAGAAAAGTCCAATGAAACGAAACTGTTGACCATGCATTACTCAATTGGGTCATAAAATAAGTTAAAAAAATCCTTATTAAATATTTTTTAAAAGGGAAGGAGTAAAATGCTTAAAAAGAAAAAGTGAAAAAGAATTGATATAAGTGGGTTTTAGTTCTACACATAAAAAATATAATATTTTAAAAAATTATATGTTATTTATAATTTTAAAAATAAAAAATTAAATACATGACATTTAATGAAATCAAATGAGTCTTACCAAAAAAATAAAATCTAAAATTTTTTTATTAAATATTTTTAATTTAAAAACAAAAATAAATTAAAAAAGGGCCAAAAGGGAAAAACAAAAAAAAAGTTTGATATAAGTGGTTCTCAAACATAAAAAAAAAAAAAAATCTTTAAAAATATATATTTATAATTTTTAAAATATTTATTAAATAATTTTAAAGAAAATGTAAAAAAAAAAAAGGAAAGAAGGAAATACCTTGAAAATGCCACTCGATAGCCAAAGAAAACAGAACTGTTGACCGCACGTCACTCAAATATGTCTAAAAAAACAAAAAAATTTAATTACTTTTTTTATTAAAAAAGAGAAAAATCGAAAAGAGTTAAAAAAAATGGTATAAATAGATTCCATCCACACATAAAAATATAAATTTTAAAAAATATATTTTTATAATTAAAAAAATAATTATTAATTTTTTTTAAAAGAAAAAGCTATAAAAACAAAAAAAATATACCAATTGACGTTTGACACAATACACCTAAAAGAACAATATACTGCACATTACCAAAATTTAAGTAGCAAATAATAATGATATGGTTGATTGAATAATTTTTTTTTTTTAAGTTTGTTAATGTGACATTCAAAATCATAAAGTTATTATAATAGACTTTTTTATAAAGTTAAGGGATTAATTTACATAAAAGATTTATATTTATTTTAATAATTGATTTTAATAAATTTAAGAAATGAGATTAAATAAATTTTTTTCACATTTTCTGCATTTATTAAAATTAATAATTAATAATTTTTTATTTTTTATTTTTTTATTCAGGAAGGATATAATCTTTACAAAGGAGAAATGAGAAGGATCTTGGCAGTCCTTTTATAAATATTAAGATTTTTAATTATGAGCTAATAAATTTTTAATTTTTATTTAACGTTAATTATATTTTGTTGCCCTGAAACTAAAAAGATTTTTTAAAAAAACTTTGAAACCATAAAGTTAAATTGGCAAATTGGGGACTAAGAAGAATTGAAAGAAAGGAAGGGCAATTTGGTCATTTTCATAATATTAGGGTTTCAAAGGCAAATATGCAAAAACTATCTAGAAACTTCCTGCCTTGTTAGAAATATGAGCTAACAAAAGGGTTCTTTCATAAAATACGCCAAATATAAATCTTCCATTGCAATATTTCCAATCGGCTGCCTTCTCTTCTCTTCTCTTGCAATTTGCAAACGGCGGCCGCCCACTCTCCTGAACAAAAACAATTTTACGTATTTACAATTACCACCCTCTCATTAAACCCTAAAAAATCCCGGACTAACTGTTCTAACTGAGTCCTAAAAAACGTCTCAATCGCCAACTCTCTCTCTCTTACCCTAAAATCTCATAACCCTAAACCTGCACAAGATATATTCTTGAGGCTCAACATTGCTTTAATAAGCAGCTTCAAAAGCTGAAGGGTAACTCCTTTCATTTATTTGTCCATATGGACTTGTGATCACTTTTACAAGTAGTTTAGAGTTTTGAATTTCATGCTTTTATTGTTGAAATTTAATCCATTTTACTTATAGCATTGTTAGTTATAAAGAGTATACCTTTGCTTATTTATGTTTGAATTCTTTTTTGCTTGGGAAGTTGATTTTGATGCACAGTTATTTATTGCAGACGATTTTCAGAAATTGGGTGTTTAATGGGTAGCAAGAAAAGAGTCACCAACTCTGAGGTGGAAGTGGTAGAGGGTCAAACTGATTTAGCTACAGATAATACGGTTTCAATGCCTTCCAATAAGAAAATTAAGATGGATAAAAAAAGGATGTAGGGATGGGAGATGGGGTTGCTGCCCCTTCCTCTGTTCCTAGCTCCATTAAACCAATGGAGAGAAAAAAGAAGCGAAAACAAATAGACAAGGAGAGGCGGCGTTCGGTTTTAGAAAATGAGGAATCTCAGCCAAAACAAATGAATGTTCAATCAACGGGAAACGATGCCCGGGAGCCTGTGGCATCTTCATCAACTGGTGGTTTGCCTGAGTTCCATATTAGTGTTTTTAAGGACTTGGCTTCAGCAGATTCTTCCGTGAGAGAAGCAGCAGTAAAAACAATGGTGACAGAGTTGCAGGAGGTGCAGAAGGCATATGATAGGCTGGAGAATAAGGACTTGGTTGAGGGTTGTTTGAAACTGGAAGCTCAAAAGGATGATGGCTTGGATAACTGTGCATCTTCTCTGAGATATGCTGTGCGTAGGTTGATACGTGGTGTTTCTTCCTCAAGAGAGGTTTGATATGCTATCTACATTCTTTGTCTCACACAAATTCATGCATTTTCTTTTTGAGGTTTTAGAACTTTGAATCTTGCATTTTGCTGTGGCATTCATATTCTCTCCTATTTTTTAATGTGCTTTCCGATGCTATGCTTTACACTTGTATGAAAAATAAATTAGTCTGAAACTTCCTTCTCTAGGACGCTTGGAGTGATCAACTTACATAGGCTTTCTATATGTAACCTATGTTATCATTTGAATCTAGTCTGACATCTAGCACCTGAAGTGCACTTGCGATCTTGCACGATATACTTGGCTATCCATAAGATAACCTAAATGGGCTAATTGTTGCTGATATATGTTTTGCCACTTGTTTTGCAGTGTGCTAGACAGGGTTTTGCATTGGGTTTGACTGCTTTGGTGGCTACTCTTCCTAGCATTAAAGTAGACTCCTTGTTGAAACTTATAGTTAATTTGTTGGAAGTCTCATCATCAATGAAGGGTCAGGTAGGTATCTTTCCCCCCTGTATATCAGATTGCCATCTAATCACGTAATGTTCAATATCTAGCTTCTTATACTGCAGGAAGTGAGAGATTGCCTCCTGGGTCGTTTATTTGCTTATGGTGCTCTTGCCCGATCTGACAGACTTACTAAAGAGTGGTTTTCTGATAAAGATACTCCTTACATCAAGGAATTTATGAGTGCTCTTCTCTCCCTTGCAGCAAAAAAACGATATTTACAGGAGCCTGCAGTTTTAATCATTTTAGAATTTGTTGAAAAGGTAATTTCTGATAAAGTAATAGGCTTTTTTCTTCAAAATGTTCTTCCTTTAGCTGCTAGAATGTGGGGGAAATTGTAATAATTCTAAGCCCATTCTAACTTAAAATCAATATTTGGACTAATTAGATTTCAACAGTTTTAATGTATTTTTAGTCATGTCAATATTAATACTAGGTAATGGTTGCAGTGGCTTCTATGTGTATCATTATAAAGAATTTTTTCAATATTCTTTTAATTGGATGGTGTAACGAGGTAACTGCTTCATATGTAGTTAATTTGCTCTTGTTTAATATTCTTTTGATTGGATGGTGTAACAAGTGCTTTTAATAGCCTTGCTTCTTTTTTTTTTCACTTGTTTCTCTCAATTATTTTATCTTTGTGACTTCCAATAACTTTATACATCTCTTGGTTGGCAATCATCATGCTGGCAGTTCAAGTATTCTCATATGTATATATGTCTTGGCAAGATTCATGTCGGTAGTGAAAGTGTTCTGATTGCATATTATGAATGCGTTTAACATGTTAAGTACATGTTTCAGTCCTTATGTAACGCTTCTATATGTTGCAGCTGCCTGCTGAAGCATTGTCGGATCATATTCTTGAAGCTCCAGGAAGTCCTCAGTGGTTTCAAGAAGCCATTGATGTTGGAAATCCTGATGCTTTGCTTTTAGCTTTAAAAATTTGTGAAAAAACGTCCATTAACAGCAAACCATTCAGCAAACTTTTGCCAAATCCGTTCAGCCCAAGCAAACTTTTCTCTGCTGATTATCTATCCTCTATTGATAACTGCTTGAAGGTAACTTTGAATGCATCTATACACTGCAGGGGTAATTATTGAGAAAAGTAAAGTTTAAATATGTTATAAAAGTTTTTTTTTTGTCTGTAATATGGCAGGAATCAACATTTTGTCAACCCCGGGTTCATAGTTTGTGGCCTGTTCTGGTAAATATTCTCCTACCTGATACTATTTTGCAGGCCGAAGATGCAGTATCAGTTTCTAATTCCTTAAAGAAGCACAAAAAGGGTCGTAAGTCTAGCTCTTCTGAAGAAGAAATTGCAAAGAACATCCAGTGTTTCTGTGAAGTTGTTATTGAAGGGTCCCTCCTTCTGTCATCTCATGATCGTAAACACCTAGCACTTGATGTTCTGCTTCTTCTCCTGCCAAGGTTACCTTCATCTTTTATACCAATTGTTTTGTCATACAAACTTGTTCAGTGCTTGATAGATATACTTTCCACGAAAGATTCCTGGTTGTATAAAGTTGCACAGCGTTTTCTTAAAGAATTGTTAGACTGGATTAGGAATGATGATGTGAGAAGAGTAGCTGTTATTGTGGCCTTTCAGAAGCACAGCAATGGAAAGTTTGATTGCATTACGAAGACAAAAACGGTTAAAGATTTGATGGCAGAGTTCAAAACAGAAACCGGTTGCATGTTGTTTGTTCAGAACTTGATTAACTTGTTTCTGGATGAAGGTCATGCTTCTGAGGAACCTTCAGATCAGAGTCAAACAACTGATGAGAATTCTGAGATAGGCTCAATCGAGGACAAGGATTCTATTGGAATTGTGGGGAATGCTGATTTTTTGAAAGGCTGGGTCATAGAATCCCTTCCTAGTGTTCTGAAACATTTAAAGTTGGACCCTGAAGCAAAATTTCGAGTGCAAAAGGAAATATTGAAGTTTCTAGCTGTTCAAGGTCTATTCTCTGCATCTCTTGGCAATGAAGTTACTTCATTTGAATTACAGGAGAAATTTAGATGGCCAAAAGCAACCACCTCGAGTGCTCTTTGTAGAATGTGCATAGAACAGGTCCAATCACTGCTGGCAAATGCTCAAAAGGTTGAGGAGCCACGATCTTTGGCTAATGGACTTGAGCCAAATGACCTTGGTTGCTACTTTATGCGGTTCTTTAGCACATTACGCAACATTCCTTCAGTTTCACTCTTTCGAACTTTGAGTGATGAGGACGAACAGGCAGTCAAAAAATTGCAAGAAATGGAGAGTAAACTCTATAAAGAGGTAAGCTTGATCTCTTTCTTTACTAACAATAATCAATGATATTTATATGTTTCTTATTTTGGGTTGATCTTCTATAATGAATCTAAAGTTCTCGAACAATTTATGTTGTACATGCTTGTGAGGTGGCTTTCAATTGAGTGGTTGGGGTAAGTTTGGTCTTACTGACTTGTAAATATTTTTTAACACTTATCTATGAGTTCATGGTTTATTGATGTGGGGACAATGGCTTTATCTATGGTGACCAAAAATAGAAATGTTTCCTTGTGTTGAACTATCAATCTTGTGTTTGGGAACTTGTAACTTAAGTAATAATCTTGTCTTTATCCTTCTTTACTATTTACTCTTGCAACAATATACAGCTTTTGAATGCTTAAATAATGGCAGGAAAGGAACTGTGGGCTCAGCAGTGATGCAAATAAATTGCATGGATTTAGGAACTTGCTTATCCTATTGCTACTCCAAGTGCTCCTCCGACCTGGGGAATTTTGTGATGCAGCCTCTGAGCTTATCATATGTTGTAAGAAAGCTTTTGCAGCTCCTGATGATCTCGATTCATCTGGAGAAGATGAGTTGGACAGTGATGCAGCGCCAGAATTAATGGATGTTCTTGTGGATACTTTGCTTTCCCTGCTGCCACAGTCATCAGTCCCTATGCGGTTTGCTATTGAGCAGGTGTGCAACAATGACTTGTTCAAGTGATTTTTATGTTGTGTTCAAGATCATCCATGTCTTATTTCCCCTACCTTTTTTCTGGCATTGCAATTCCTTTATTTTTTCAGTGTTACCCTTTAATATTTATAGCTGCCACTTATTGATACTATTCAGAATTTTCTTTCTTAATTAAATGTTTTCTTGATTATATTTATTTCTCTTCACAGTGAAGCTGTAGTTTTCCTGATTCATTTTATTAGCAGAACTTGGAGTTGTTTTGATTCTTAGCTAAGATACTTTCATTTTTCCTAGTATAGGTGTCTTTCCGAAATCATATATGATATTTTTTTTGGCATGTATGATTTATAGGTTTTCAGATATTTCTGTGGTGATGTCACTGATGATGGACTGCTGCGTATGTTGCGGATAATTAAGAGGGACTTGAAACCTGCTAGACATCAGGAAGCAGGCAGTGAAGATGATGATGATGATGATGACCTTCTTGGTATTGAAGAAGATGAGGTTATAGATGAAGCTGAGACTGGTGAAACGGGTGAGAGTGACGAACAATCAGAGGACTCTGAGGCAGTAGTTGGCGGTGAGGAGGCTGATAAAGAACTTCCTGAAGATTCTGATGATTCTGATGGAGGAATGGATGATGATGCAATGTTCCGCATGGACACTTATCTTGCCCGGATCTTTAAAGAGAAAAAGAATCAGGCTGGTGGTGAAACTGCACAGTCCCAGCTTGTCCTGTTCAAACTCCGAGTTCTTTCACTTGTGGAAATTTACTTACATGAAAATCGAGGCAAGTTTTATAGCTTTGAGTTATCTTTCACAAAATGTCAAATGCCACCTGTGATGATTATTTCTTCCAATTTAAATGTGGCATTTAAAATTGATTTTCTCTTTGTTAGTATTATGGAAGTTTAGAAAATTTGATTTTTGTGATCTAGACAATTTCATTTAAGAAGTGCTACCATCCAACTTATGTACGGCATTCTAAGAATTGTGTATTTTATGATCTTTCTAATTCAGGCAAGCCCCAAGTCCTCACAGTATACTCAAACTTGGCTCAGGCATTTGTCAATCCACATACTACAGAAGGCAGTGAACAACTTGGACAGCGTATATGGGGAATTCTTCAAAGGAAGGTATTCAAAGAAAAGAAGTTGCCCAAGAATGAATCTATGCAACTGTCTACTCTTGAATCTCTATTGGAGAAAAACCTAAAGCTGGCATCTAAACCATTCAAGAGAAAGAAATCTGCTAGCACCCTATCCCAGAAGAAGCTGTCAGCCTCTTTGAACAGATACAAAATGATTGTTTCGCTTGCTCAGAATTCAACATACTGGATATTGAAGATCATTGAGGCGGCAAACTTCTCAGACACTGAATTGCAGGGAATTTTTGATCTCTTACAGTCTATGTTAGTGGGGTATTTTGACAGTAAAAAGTCCCAAATAAAATCTGGATTTTTGAAAGAAATATTTAGAAGAAATCCTAGGATTAGCCGTCAACTCTTTAGTGTGCTGTTGGACAAATGTGGCAGTGCAAAATCAGACTTTCGACGGGTTGAGGCTCTTGATTTGGTGATTGAAGTATTGAAGTCTCAGGTTCCCATGAATTCTAATGAAAGCAACCGGGATGCATCAAAGGAAATCTTGAAAAGCCATCTGCAGAGTCTGAGTCATCTAATAGAGACGTTGGTAACAAGGATGCCTGAAAAGAAGTCTAGAAAAACTGAAGTGCATAAATTTTGTGATAAGATCTTCCAGATGATATCAACACTAGACCTATCCAAGGCTTTTTTGAGGTGTTTGGGACAAGATGCTCATAATGCTTGTGAATCTCAACTTGGTCCCGTTTTTCTCAAGTTGAAGAAGCTTGAATGAGAACTGAAAACAGATATTTGTGGAAACAACTGACGAAGGGCAACTGATTTTGGCTTGCCTTGCTTACGCTGCTTGCACGCAGTCTCGTGACTCTCCTTGCTACAACCAGCATGGCTTCAAAAAGAAGACTTTATTTGAGGAACTTTAGTGGTCTCTTCTGATTGTTGCTCAAGTCTCCCTTGTTGAGAATCAAAAACTGTTGTCAGTTATATTCTAGTTCCTTTGCTTTCTTCAAAGTGACGTCTCTGTGGGTTGAGAAATTGTTGACTTCCAGGCTTAAATTTATCCAAAAAATTATCAGTAATTTTGTTTAGCAGCCTGCTTTTATTTGTCATCTAGCTGGTTTCTCTCGCTAACGTTATAGACAATGAATTACCTGTTGTGCAAATGTTGCTTCCTGATAAAATTTTATATATATTTATATAATCTGCAGGTCACTATCGATGTTCCAGAATTGTGAGTCTTGGTAGTTATCCCGGTGTGCTGCTTTTGGTCACTGAAGATGCTGCGTTTTTACATGGAAATTAATGAATAACGATTTTATTTCTTTTATCAGGAGTATTATTATTTTGAATGATGAAATATGAAGCTTCCTCCCTCCAACCACTGTACCCACTCCACATTGCTGTCTGTTGTTGTCAGCTTCTAAAACCTTTTTGTGTGTATTTGTTGACCATGTCAACAAGGTGGTCGTGCCACCCAATACCGACTGCAAATCCTTCCGTTTCTTTTGTGCTTCTAAGTAGATATTTTCAATTTTTTATTGAATTATCAAATTGGTCATATGTTACTAAATTTTTTAATGTTATAGAGACGTCTACATACGTAAAACGCAAGAAACTCGCAAATATACAACAAAACAAGGGACTTGAAGATATTATGTCTCATCGATTAAAAGGTCGAAAAGATAGATGCAACTTTTGTTGGCCAAAAAGAACAACGGTAAATTAGTTCTAAATTGTCACTTCGAACAATTTCCAGTTTTGCAGTCAATTTTTCATCAACTCACAAGCAGCTAGGCCTGAGCACAAAGAAAGGCAGGGAAAGTAACATCGGTTCCTGATGACAAAGAGGGATTTACCATTGTTGAAATAAGTTGAATGCAATATCTTCTCGAGTCAGATGGCGACATAGTGACTGATAAGCAGATTAAAGCCTACCAGTTTTGGTATAGTAAGTTGGCCCTAGCAATTACGAAAGGCAAACCTTGAGCTAGTTTGGCGCACAGGTACCCTGTCCCATAGGCAAAAGAGCTGATAGAAATGGCAATACCTTTTTGCTTAGAGTCCGCACCATTCTGGCGTTTGTCATGTTCCCATCCTCTCGAATCTAATGCCAGGCAGTTGCCGCCTCTCATCAATTCCTTTCCAAACTTATAATCAAAATTTGTACAGGGTTACTTTTTATTGTTAGTCTTCTCCATCTTTTCCCCTTAAAGGCTACAACAACCATTCCAGTTATAATCTCTCCTTGTTTACCAAGGAAAGATATGCACTCTTAAAAAATTGCATTTGACCCATTCCATTCCTACCAACAACCAACTAAGAAGAAGTAAAGACTAAATTGTAAATGCCTCTATTAATGCTGATTGCTTAAAATCAAGTATTAGGGTTAATACGTACAAAGTATTTTCCAACCCCACTATTTTTCCCTTCTACCTGTCTTCTACCAAATCTCAATTCTGTTCACTACATTTTCTCTACCCACTAAAATCCACATTCATTCTTCTGGCCGAGGGTGCCCCCGTTTCCAACTTCTTTCATAAATTTCTGTCCTCCAAAGAGAGCAACCACTACAATTCACACAACACACTTTAAGAAACCACCCTGTACAGCAACAAAAACAAGAAAAAAAGGGGGAAAAAAAGGTTCATACCTTGAGCATTTAATCCTACTGAAGTCCACAGCTAATTTTCAATTTGTTAGCAATGTTAGCAAAATCTACCTCATCTATATCCCCACCCAACTCATCCTGGATGCCCCAAAATCTGAGCTCACAAACTTCAAAAAACAAATAACCCATCCTTTATGCCAAAGGCTTATGACCGCGCATCATCAGCATCGGAATCACTTCCTGAAGAACTCCCAGAATCTGAATCTGCAACAATAACCTTACGAAATAAGAATTTTCCCAAAAGATTTTTTTGCTTTAGGAATCATCGTTCTAAACTTCAGAATTGAGTTGAGTAATACCGCTTGAAGATGATGAATCACTGCTGGAACTGCTTGAGCTGCTAGAACTGCTACTAGCACGATCATTATCCTTCTCAATCTCCACAGGTGGAAAACTGCTCATTGGCATTTCATCCCCAATATCTACATCTTCCTCACCAGCATCCCCTTTCTTAGGCTTCTTCAACTCCATTGGAACCTCAATCTTCTCCACAGCTACCTCTTCCTGTATTTTCCATCATTTTCCAATCAGTACAAATAAAAATTCATCAAATTCGTACAATAAAGTAAAATTAACAATTACCCATCAAGCAATCACAATGTGCTTACCCTATTGCAGTCATTAGATACCGCATTGTTTGCCATCAATGCTTGCCGCTTAATCTTGCTGACCATCTTCTTGTAATTAGTGACAAACCGATCCAACTCCCACAGCGTCTCTGTATCCATTGCCTCAATATCAAGTTCAATCTCATCCCCATCCTGCCTCAAATGCCCATTCCTCTTTTTTATAATCAGAACCACATGATCCATCTTCTCCTGTGGCAAGCTCTGCAATCCAATCCCCAACTTGTGCTTTTCTTCCATACTCATTTCCCTCTTGTTCGGATCCTTTGCCTTTGGCTTCGGTTGCTTCAATGGCTTCACTGGCTGTGCCCTTAGTGGAGAAGCCACTCTTGCCGGAGCCTGCAACTGCATCTGAGGCGGTGGTACATTTGGGTTTGAAGCAAAGCCCGAAAACCCCCCAACTTTATCAGATCTTGCCACAATTGAATCATCCCTATCAACAATAATCCTCCGCCCATCTCTTTCCCTATCTTTCTTCAACCTATCAGCTTCGCCATGATCCCAAGAACTCGCCTGCAACTCTTCCTCATAATAACCCCTTTCTTGTGGCTCTTCTTGCTCCAATTTCAAACTCAGCGGCCGGAAAAACTCCTCAAATCTCGCGAGCAACTGCTCAGCCAACACATAGACCTCATGCCCCTTAGGGTTATACAACATGGCGTTATTGAAAGTCAGCCTTATATCAGCCGCAAAATCAAACGGAGACCCATAAAAATTCTTTGCCATCCTCGATTTAACAGTGCCCAGATCCATCGGAATCTTGATTATATCATAATAATCATGAAGCCCCAATCCAACGACATCCACCGGCGAATTGAAGATGTACCCATGCTTATGCTTCATCAATTTGTTCAAGATTTGGGAACAATTTTTCATCAAATGAGCCGTTGATGCTTTTCCGTTCTCTTGAGGGTTCAATCTCTTCGATTCTTTGCTGGAATTTGAGGGCAAAGGCCGTTTGTTGCCGGAAATGTTTTTTTTGGGTACCGGTTTCCTGTTGGTGCTGGATCTAATGTGAAAATCATTCGACTCGATTCGATTCTTCAATTCACGAATCTGCTCCAACTCGGCAATTAACTGATTCTTCAGATCAATCAACGCCTTCCTCGAATAAGAGCTGATGTGGAAGCTGACGTAAGAGCCAGAGCTAAAATCATTTAGTTTCCGATTAATCGATGACGCATCGTCAGAAGCCGCGGATTGGGTCACGCCGGGAAAATCATCAACGACGTGGCCGGCAACATCGTCAGGTGGCGCCAAATGATGGTGGAATTGGCGTTTCTTGTTGAATTTAGGGTTAGGGTTTGGCTTTGTTGCTGTGAATGGAACTTTGCCCATGAATTTAGAAACACTGCTTTTCGGCTGTGGTGGCCAATTTGACTCACTTCGATTCGCTAAAACAGCCGACGCCATTAATTATCGGGAGCCGGTATGGTTCCGGCTATGGTTTCCCGATTCGAATTGACAGATTAAGACCATGAAAGAGAAGTGTGGTCAACACGCGCCACTTGAACAATCAGCACGCGCCGCCCTAACCAATGCAACCAAGAATTTAAATGCCTAAAAATTATTTTGTTTTTGAAAAAAAAAAATTTATACGTGGAAACTACGGTTTGGGATCTAACCCTTGATGAGCGAGGAACAAGAGAAGGCTAGGCTCGCTTCTTAAAGGAGATGAGATCTGCCCGAAGGAGTTTCGGGCAGTAGTATGACCGTTAGATGGAGTCCTCTTCTTGATCGAAGGGTTTTAGAGATTTGGAAGGTGCCCAAAAGTGTGGCCAGCTGATCTGCAATAGACGGTTGGGATGGGAAAGTTTAGACAAGTGTAAATTGAATAGACCGTGGATTGGGATCGTAGATTTGGGTTTAGATTTGGGGTGAATTTGGCGTGCATGTGGAGTGAATTTAGGGTTTATATGGGGGTACGGCCAACTGCGTGATGACGTGGACGGGAAGCCAACTGGGTGGTCCGACTTAAGCCGGAGGCCGCACGGCATGTGTGTTCCAAACGTATAGGTGCCGATCGTGTCAACATGAAGGGTAATATCGTAATAATGTACAAATGATTAAGTATTTAATTACTAAATCACCCTCGGTTCCCAGAAAATAATATCATCATCGTGCTACAATTATTCCTTTGTCAGGTTTCAGGTAGTGCTGTTTATTATCCCATAATTAAAATTATGGGAACAAAACTAATGTCGTAATTAGTGGATTATCCATCCTCAGGGTAAAAGTAGTTTTTACTTTTGATTAAATTCGGTAATTCATATATATCTATTTTATCTGGTTTTATGTTAAATATATATAATTATTATGATATAATTCATGTCACATATCAAAAATAAAATATTTTTATTTTTATTTTTATTAAATTTATATATTATTTTCATTAAAATTTAAAAAAAAAAGTTTGTATTATATTTAAAATTAACAAATTTACTTTTAACAGTGAATATCTAATCTTCAGCTTTAAATCAAATTCTGTTGGAATTTTCAGATTCATTTCCGAATATATCTATCCACATTTTTCTACATAGAATCCACTTAGTTAGCTCATTTCTAGAATGTCAACCGTTGACGAAATTATTGGAATGGTTAAAAAATGGCAGCATTTTATCTAATACAATCATTAAAAAAATGAATTTTTCTTGACACTGATTCTATTAATTTGACTGTAATTTTATATCTAATTAGTTTTTTATCTGTGCATATGCACTAAATTTTTATATTCATAATAATATTAATTTAATTTATTAAAAATTTGCATAAAATTTTTATAGATTCAAAATTTTATTTTTTATCATTTAATATTTGTATCTTTTCTCTTTTTTATTTTTAATTTAATTTATACATTTAATGTTAACATTTTTTATTTGATTTTTAATTTCATAAATTAAAAGTATAATTTTTCAAAATAAAAAATATAATTTATCAACAAAATTTTCAAATAACATTTTGACCTTCATCTTACTTTAGAAAAGTATATTAGTAAATATTTAAAATATTGAAATTTTTAATTAATTTCATTTCATAAATTCGATTGCTTAATTGGTAAAAAATAAAAATTTGCTATATAAAAAAAAGATTTACATAAAATCTAAGTATAGTAAGTATTTATAAATCTCAAAAAATTATTAAAAAAAATTGATAATTAAGATAAAATGTAATTGAAATTTAATAATGAAGCGATCAAATGAATAAAAACAATTTAAATTGAAGACAAAAATATGATTTAAAAAGTTGAACTAAAAAAATTTTGTTAGATTTTGATCAAAAATTTTCATTCATTATATTAAGATATCAATTTATAATCACTTGTCCTCTTTTTCTTGTTTAGAGTTATATTGGGTAATTTTTTGACAAAAATAATATAATAAATTATACATTTTACCATTTTACTTTAAGAATCAATTTTATCACATATATTTAAACGAATGTAATTTTGAAATTGCAATTTTTTAATTTGTAGGTTAATCAAGTTAAAAAATCTAATTAAACTCGACTAAGCCTTGAATATAATTTTTAAGCTTTGCTTCAACTTTATAATAATTTATTTGGAAAAATAAAATATTTTCATTAAACTTTAATTATAAAATATATTTAATAATATATGTCTTTCCTTCTTCTTATCTTACTAAAAAAGAATGGTTGGAAAGCCCTTATGCATATTAAAGGAACGTTCTTCCCAACTTACGTTTTTGGTTTGTACAATGTCTAATTAATCTGACAGCTTTAGACCAAAAAATAACAACTAATTGAATTTTGGAATATTACTTGTAAAATGGACCTCATCATTTTTCTTTAATTAAAATGGTTAATGTCATGAATTTTATTAAATTATAATAAAATATTTAATATAATAACTAAATTTTAAAATTTTTTAAATTTTACTTAAATTATAAATTTATTAATTAATATGATACTTATAAAAATTTTTATTTATCACGTGTTATTATTTAAATAATACATTAATTAATAGTTTCAATATTTTATTAAAAATTTTTAAAATTTAAATATTACATTAAATATTTTACTATAAATAAAAAATCAATCATGAGATTAATCCTAATTGAAATATACATCATTTATGGCAAAAAAAAATGTATATCATTTTATCTTTTAAATAAATATTTATTACAATTAAACACCAACATTAAATCCTAAGTATATTATTTATTTATTATTTATTATTTTCAGGCACCCTTATTTCATTTCACTTTTTTTTACCATCACTTTTTTTTTACCAATTCATTATAAATATTTATTTATTTATAAAATTCGTTTCTATATATTTCTAATAATTTTTTTAATTTTACAAATAAAACAAAAAAATTGATGCGCATTTTTTAGTTATTTTAATACATTTTAGAATGTATGTTTCGTTTCATTTGTAAAATTTAAAAATCCGTCGACAATGAATAAATATTTTTTTATTTATATTTTCGCATGTATGAAGCGTTGGTACAATCATTGGGTTTTTTTTTTTTTTTTTTGTAATTCTATCATTGGTCCTCACTCCCACAATTTTTATTCTTTTGATTTTATTTTTTTTGGCAAATGCTAATTTGGTTCGGTCCGTCCAGTACAGTTCAGAAGGCATTTAAATTTAGTGGATGATACTATGCTTACCCACATTAAATAGAAAACAGTATGCTTTCTTTATCTTTTTTTTTTGTCTTCCATTTTTTTTTTGTTTTTTTATGAAGGCATCTAATAATGAAAGCATTGATTATTCTAATTATTTCAGTGACCGAAAAACTTTTTTTACAAAAATAAATTAAGAATTATAAAAAAATACATAAATATATATATTAATCAGTGACGGTTCTATGTAGCCTTCTAGTGTTTACAATACAGGGAATCTGTTTCGTGAATTTCTTTTGAGGCTTGCCTTTTCTTTATAATTGGAGATTAGAGAAGAATCATCATAATTATTTATTTATTTTTAATAGATTTAATTATACTTTGGATATTTGAATTTTGATAAATTTTAAAATTTGATACTTAAAAAAATAAAATTTACATTTTGCACCATAAACTCTCAAATAACATATCATTTTAATTTAAATTATAATATTATTAAGTTAACTCATTTATATGATATCTAATCTATATAATTTTATTATATACATGTCATTTATTAAATTAAAAGTATTAAATATTTTGTAAACAACTTTAGGTGAATGTTACACGATAAAAAATAATTAATTGATCTTAAATAATTTTTATGATTCAGATAAAATATATATTTTTTTAATTTTTATTGAAAAAATATATCGATAGTCTATGTGATAAACACGTAATTTAATAATATTAATCAAACATTACATATATAAATTGATATGATTGTTATAATTATAGTTTGGATTAATATGATACATAATTTGAAAGTTTATAATATAAAATTACACATTTTATTTCTATAAGTATCAATTTGTATAATTTTTAAAATTTGAAATAAAAAAAATTAACTCTTTTTAATATGGTTAGAGATTGGAATATTTGTAGTCAATGAATGTAATTTTATTTGAAAAGCACAAACTAAAGCAAAGCACCTCTAAGAAACTTAATTAAAAATAATAGTTTTCTCATTTAAGTATAAATAGACATTTTGAAAATATTATCCCATAATACACTTAAAACATGAAACAAAAATGAAAATGAGAGAATCAAATTACTATTGAGAGATCGAATGTAAAGGTGTGTTAAATGAATGTTAATGGAAGTATTTGTAATTCTCAATCGGTGCTAAAAGTTTTTTTTTTTATTAATAAATATTTCTTTAGTGAAGAATCAACATTTTGAAATAAAGTATCATATCCACTTTAAGGCATTTTGGTACCCTATGCAAATTTTTAATAACTTCTTTTTAAACTCAATCATTCAAATTTCCTTTAAATAACATTAGAATCTTTTTACTTGTTTTTTTATTTCAAAAATTATTTGTCAACTTTCAAACATCACTTTCTTTAATCAAATGCAAATTATATGATTTTCAAACCTTTATATTTTATAAAAGACACCTAAAACAATTTTAAAAAACATATATTTTGATGACATATACAACAAAGATGCCTTCAAATTTTGTTTGAGCCTAATTCATTTTCCAAACAAGTTGGAAAATGAAACCCCTTGTTTTCAATAAAAAGCAGTTGCTATAACAAAAATGAAATCAATATATACAATTTTTTTTATTCAAAAGAGTGCAACGCTCTATTATAAGAAAACGAAGAATGATGGTTTGGTTCGAATTCAAATTTTAATATTTTTTTTTTAAATTTTTTTATAATTAAATTAAGAAGCGAAAGATAATATATACATATTTTAATCTTAACAAATTAGTTACTTAGAGTACATGTGAATAAGATGCCAATAGATAGGTGTTAAATATGTGTGAAAACCATATTGAAGTTACCTTCATTAATTTCCTATAGGTTTTTGTCTAAAGAAGAAACTTTAATTAATTATTCAGTAAAAGATTTGGCCGACAAATGTTTTTAAAAGTAATGTAAATATTATTTACTATAAATAATATTTTATATTAAATGCAATGATTAATTTTTAATTTGATGAATTTAATGTATTAAAAATAAAATTTTATTTAATATGATAACTTTAAAAGAAAGTACTAGGAATAAAATTTGAAACACTTTGATTA